ATTTTAATTTGGGAATTGTATGTAGCCTTGGAATTGAACAGCACCTGGTATTGCTCTGGTTTTTGTGCATGGGAGAGGAGATGGGGAAAGACAGAAACAAGCCACATTCAGAAGTCAATGAAGAACTTGTGCATACCCAAGGTCTCATGCAGCTATAGAGTCCCCCACGTTGTAGGCTAAGAGCCCAGAAGGTCTTTGAAAAAGAGAGGTGGTTTTTCAGAGAGCCTTTTGAAGTGCACAGGCTGTGTATTGGGACTTCTGCAATGGCAGTTCAGTAAAAGGCCAGTTCAGGAGCAAAGCATCCTTCCTGCTGGCCAATCTTCCCAGGAATGCACCTGGGAATGGTGCTGTCCTGCCAAGAGAAACCAGTCACTGGGAGTCCAAAGTTTGTTCTCAGGATTTGCCAAGAAGCCCAAAGCCCTCTCAGGATTTGCTGGGAATTGACTGGATTAAACCCACAGGTACTTTATAACCACTGAAGTTACACATGGTGGAGGGCTGCAGCAGACTGCTATGGTAGCTCTAGTGCAAAGCCTATGAGATTTACTTGAGGAGCAGATAAGGCTGTAAGCTACTAGTTCTCATAACCCTGACACCTTGAACATCACACTTGATGTCTCTGTTCTGCCTGTCCAGAATTCAGGGGAAAAGCCACAAGGCCCGAATGGGTGAGAGGAGACACAGTCCTCATGAGATGTGCTTTCATGGTCTATCTGTTCTTCTTTGTGTGTCTCACAAAAGGAACAGGCAGGTGAGTGATGGACATAGTAATCTCTACAAGTTTTATTTACATATCACCTTTTATTTCAAATGAATTCAAAAGATCAGGGAAAGAAAATATGCAGCTTTTAAACTTCTGATGTACACTGAAGGCCAGGTGTATGCAGTAGATTTACTAATTAACTTCAATGGCAAAAACCCAAACAAAATGCACACAAAACCTCACAAACAATAAGCTGACAAAACTCTGCCTGGGAAAAAGCCAATGCTCATGCATTTCATGAGACATGACACAAATCCTTCAGAAATTGCTGTCTGTGTCATGAACAGACAGGATTTTCTAAAGCCAAAGTAAGAAAGGGAGTCTGTAATTTGTCTTTCATTTTACTTTATGAGGTTATTCAGTATAAATGGAGACAACAGAACAGAATCTTGGTTAGCTGAAGTCAGTGAATCCAAACTGAATTACACAAACCTGAAGTCCAACACCTGGTTTTCTAATCCATAGAAGAAAAGGGATCTGTCAAAGCTGGTTGATCTGCCATCTGGCAGCTATTTCCTGTATTTGTCTCTAATACTGGGCTTATTTTTGCTGGCACATTTCCAGAGTCGAGTAAAGGAATTTATGATGAATATTTTCACTTTTACCAATATTTTCACTGCAAGTCAGGAAATTTTAAACTGTACATTTTAAAAAAAACCTTTAAAAGTTTCTTTTTTTAGCTTTAGTTTTGGTCAGCAAAAATTACAGACAAAAGGTTTTAGGTATTTTTTGTGAAAGTTGCTGATATTTTTAGATCAGCGGCAAGACTTTGGCTGCTCCTCTTGACGTCCCTGTGATCTGATTCAGCTTTGAGTCTCTTCCTGCTCCCTTCCACAATGTCCCACCTGATAGGTCTTCACTTGAAGATAAGGTCCTTTGCTGCTAGCAAAACTGTGAATAACAATGAGTGAGAATACTGAGAAAGATCTTAACCATGCCTCCCTCCTAACTTCAGGACAGTTCTCAAATATTTAGTAAAAATTCTGATCCTTTTTTCTTTGTTCTTCCCTTCCTCTTGTAATTTTCTATTTTTTTTTTGTTGTTGTTTGGTATTCCGTTAAGTGAATTAATTTCTGAAGTAGTTGTTTCCCACATCCTGATGGCAATAGAACTTAATGCTTACTGCTTTTCTGTGTTTCAGGAGGTGATTGTGAAAGCCTGGAGGCTGAGGTTGGATAGAGGGACTCATGTCAGTGACTGGAGAGTGCTTGCTGGAGAATGCCCTGCACTTGGATGCCTCCCTGTCTTGATGTGCAAGGCTTAGTCTTCTCACTGCAGCTCTAGGGCAGAGTCTTTGTATGGCTGATGCAGCCTCAGTCCTGGTAGGGACCTACTGTGCTGCTGCATCAGAAGTAGGTGGTTAAGAGCTGGAGAGAGAAAAGGTGAAAGAAGAAGGAAAGTTAGGATGACAGTCTGAACCGGTTGTGCTGGTGTACACCCCAGCATATGCTGAGGTGAAGGTCTGCTGCAATGTCATGTCTAAAGAGGGGACAGAGGGTATCGGTTATGCAAAATGTCCTGAGATGTTATTGTGAGGCTTGCTTGGCTGTAGACAATTGCTTCCCTCTTTTACTTCTTCCAATTACCATTTCCTAAAAAAAGACACAAAAGACAAATTTTGGAGGTGAATAACCAGCCTTGTGTGTATGTAACTAGTGTAATTTACTGACCAGGGAAACAGCAGGGCCACATAGTAGACAGAAAAAGAGCTGAGCAGTGGCTGCTCTAAGCTGAATAGTAAAGTATAGCAAGCGCTTTGCGGGTTACCAGGGGGTGTTAACATGAGTATGAGCCCTGCTGTGGCACCAAATATAGGCTTTTGACCTTGGAAATGAGACAAGGACCTCAAGCCACAGGTTACTCACCCTGAAGTAGGGAGAGCACCTACGTAATATATCAAGTTTCTTCCTGAATACTTTAATGTCACATTTGCCCAATGTCTCTTATTTGGTTTCCATAGCTCATACTACAGAAGGCCTGAACACAACCTACCAGGAGCATATATTTGAAGCTTGTAAGGTAGGTAAGTTAACAAACTCACTTGCCTGCCTCTAAGAGCATCACCCCAGTGGGTCGGTAATTACACTGATGCTTGCCCTGCCTTTTCTGGATGTGCCTTGGTATTGGAGCAGTGAGCACTGGGAAGTCACTCTCCAGCCATGAGCTGGTGGCAGGGAAGGGAGGTGACTTTATCAAGGTCACTGAGTCAGCTTATGGCTGTACTTCTCTCACCCACTTGTCTTTTAAGTCACTGATGGGCAAGTTTTTCTTAGCACCAAGATTCCTCGACTTCTCTCTGTCCTGTGAATAGCTGAAAATTGTGCTTGCAGAGTGAAGGCAATGGGCACAATTTCCAGATTTCATTTGCACAGTGGTGCTTATCTGTGTGACAGCTGCCTGGGTCCTCAGTAGAGCATTTGCTTTTCTTGCAAACTCGTACCTCCTTTCCCCATCCCTCGCCTTTGCTTGTACAGAGCAATCAAGTAAAAAAAAGATCTTACGCAGTTGACAAAAAGTCAAGTATTTTTCACAAAACATTTGAAAAGTCTTCCTTCAGGGTGTCTGCTCAGGGCTTATTAATTAGGGGAGTAATGATTATTTCAGAGCCAGCCCGCAATCTCCTCATAAAGGTGCTGCAATTCCACTATGGAAAAGAAGATCCATTTTGCCCCAGTGCTTGCTCATTATTTCACTCACAAAGATATTCCATTTGTTTCAGCACTGATGTTACAAAACAATACCCTTTAAGCTAATTGCTGTTGGAAAGGAAAGGCTTGCTTTACAGTCAATGGCTTTGATGCTTTGGGTAGTTCAAGTCAGAATCTGCCTCTGTCTTGCCTTGATTGACAGGACACTTTCTATATATTTGAGCAATTAAGCAAGCCAGTAGCAACCACTGGGGAGACCTACTGAGCACAAAGCTGATTAAGATTGCTGTGTAGGTCTCCTGCTGCTCGCTCTGACTTCCTGAAACACCATTTGCAATTTGAAGCTGCAAAAGGAGATCTGACTCCAACAAGGTAGGTGAGTGTGCTTCTGTGTGTTTGTTCCATGTCATGGCTCTGGCTCCTGAATAAAGAAGCAGGTTTTGTTAAAGTGGCAAAGAATAAATATTCAATTTGTTCTGAAGTTTGCCTTCTCTGGTTGCAGATGTCTGCTTTTAAAAATAAGGAACTTTCACCTTTTTTTGCCCTATTGAAGCTTAAGTATAAACAGACTGTCTTTTAATCGCGTACAAGACTATCGTGTATGCATGACAACATATATGAAGCAACATTCATGTGCTAATCTAAAACTGTATTTGGCAAATTTAAAGGATTTGGTTTAACAGAAGCCTGGGGACTCAAACATCAGTCAGGTGAAAGGCAAGCCAAACTCATTTAACTTAAGTCTATCCATCTGAGGATACAGGCCAATGCACACAAGACTGTGTGCCTCATGCAGTAGCTGACTTTCTCAAAATTAAATGTCAAGTCTGGGATTCTAGGTGGACATTTTGAGTGCAGTGCAATTATGTGAAGCACAAAATGGATCTTGTGGCTTAGAGATACTTTCCAGCTCTTTTTGTTTTCTGACAGAGGAAGTTTTCCAGAGGGGCTGGTCACATTCTGCACTGAGACAGAAAGGCGGCAAGTATCACAGGGACTTGGCTGATACTGGGCTGCTCAGAGAGTGTGAGGAGTTTACGCCTTGATCCCCTTGGCCCCGTGCTCCCTTGTCTAAAGGGTTCCATTCACCAGTTTAGCAGCCTTGCTTAGGTCTGAGCTGGCTGGTAGGGCAGCGTGTGCGGAAGAGCTCCCAGGCTCTCTGGCTGCAGTCCTGGGGGTGGACCAGAACCAGTCCAGTGCTCAGGGTATTGGTAATGGCAACTCCAATAACACTTTGGGAGGTGCTGAGATTATAGCACAAGTTCAGGGATGCTTGGCTCTTAACTTAGGCTAAAAGGTGAGAGGGATAAATCCAGAATTAAGTGCCTCAGTCAAAATGCTGGTGCTACATGCAGACTGAACCCTAATGAATGCATGATGCTGCAGCTGTGCTGCTTTCCCCCTTGTGCAGCAAAGCAGGGAACCTGTCACCTCCCATAGGTGTGCCTGACAGACAGAGCCCTTCCAGATTGACCTGCCAGGGCCACTACTGTCAGGGACTTCAGCCAACAACGCGCGTGTGCACTGAGAGGGAAGTGTTGCCTAGTGCAACCCCAGGGCAACCCAAGTGGGATGGTAAGAACGGTTATCTGCAAAGTAAACTTGCAATATAGAGATTTCTGTGGGTCTGAGGCACTGGCTGGTGGCTTTGTCGCTTCCAGGCAAAACCCACTGCTGTGCATGGAAAGTCTGCAAGCTAATGTATTCTGTTACAGACCATTTTACTAAGACTTTCCACTTCTGGGTGAAGTGGTAGGTGGCCCCTTGTTCTCACATCTGTCCATCTTCTCTTGGGCAGAATGAGGATGAGCAATAGCATGTCTGAGGTGAGGAAGGGCAGCCCCAGCTTCAGCTGAGCCTGTGCATTTGTACTTGGGTTGTGCTGGCTCTTCCACCCCTCTGCTTCTCTCCCTTCTGCCTCAGTATGAAGCTCCACCACCAGACCCTGGGCGCTGTGCTTCTACTGCTGCTGGCTGGCTGTGGCGTCGTGCTCCAGACCTCTGCCATCGACCTGCGGACCTTCATTGGCTGTGCTGTGCGTGAGTTCACTTTCCTGGCCAAGAAACCTGGCTGCAGGGGGCTGCGGGTGACAACGGATGCGTGCTGGGGACGCTGCGAGACCTGGGAGGTGAGGCTCTGCCGGCGCTGACGGGGGTGGCTGACACCAACATCCCTGGGTATTGTGCTTCCCCATAGGTGGTATATAGTACAGGTGCTTCCCCACCTAAGAAAAGAAACCCACCCAACATTAAGCAGCTTGCAGCTATCTACTAAACAGGCAAAGTCTGTCCCACTCCACAACCACCTCGCTACCACTGCCAGCAGTGTTTGCTGTCAGTTATTCCCTCCCTCCTTCCACTGCCTCAAGGGGGCATGTGATGATACTAATGAAACACTTGTGTAATACTCTCATCATGCAATTTGAAAGCCTCTTATGGCTTGAACACTTACGGAGAGAAGGTCTTTGTTACTTTACTAGAAGAAATTCCTTGGAGATTAAGATGGAGCTCCCAACTAACAGGTAATAGATCTTGTTCCAAAAAACAAATCGTAAAGATAATGTCTGCTTCTAATTCAGTCCCGTTTTAAATCACAGCCCTGTATAAATATGAAGTGGTTATGTTTTGGGGGCATACGGAGTGGGGAAAGAAAACGCATAAGCTCCTCTACACACACTTCAGAGGACAAGTTTCTGACTATCTTTGCCTTTCTGCCACTGGGAGGCTCAAGGGACCAGTCCCCATTTGATTTGTTCAGAGAAGTCTTGAGTGACTCCAGAGGGATTTCATGCACGTGAAGACAAGGACCCTGTAAGTGACCACAGGAGGATACACGGTCTTTATGCCAGCTCTAACTGCCCTTTTTCACTGCCTGCTGGGGTAAGGGGAAAGGCCAGCAGTGGCTAGATTTCCCTAATGGATGATTCAGAGAAAACTCCAGGAACAAACTTCCTTCTACTCTGAAGCTCCTCTGGCAGCACAGACCTTGCAGACTTTCTTACTGTACTTCAACACCACTGGCACGTAGTTAAGCTGAACACATCCAGTTGTAGGCTCAACAGCTTCTAGGAAGTGCCATGATGTATGTGGAGGGGGGTGTTGGGAAGAGGGATGCTGTTTGGATATCTTCTTGCTGAGATGTTGCATTTGTTCTTTTCCACGCTATCATTCTTGGTTCCCAGGGCAGGCTCTTTACACAGCACAGGGTGAAAGAAAGAATAAATTTAAATGTCTCCTGGTTGTGTTACCTTATGCTGTGTCCCATCTCACAAAACAGTGGACTCCCGCTCCTGTGTGTTCTGCCTCTTCTTGGAGTCTTTGGAAAATGGGTGCCCCTGTCAAGGAAAAACCCACTTTTCAGCAAAAGCAGTGCCACTGTGATACCATGTGGCAATGGCGGTTTCAGGACCTTCAGGCTCCCATTTTCTCTTGATGTCTGAGGTCTCTGGCCAAGCTGAGGAACTGCAGACTTCCAGGCTGGCTGCTGTGCTGGGTTCATCCCCCGTAGTGTACCTCCATCGGGCTTTATGGGATGCACAGCCTGACTAGGCAGACAGGTCTGTCTAAGAAAAAAACAGCCATTTGGCACTTGGATGCATCTCTGCTCTTAGGCAGCTTGTGCACAGGGAAGGGTTTCCAGCAGAATGCATTTTCCTTGATGGACAATCAGTCCTTTAGGAAAAAAGTAGCTGCTTTTGGCAAACATGAGCATTTAGTTGAAACACTTATATTCTCCTGAAAGCCAGCTTTTTGGGTAGGCTTTTGTGTTCCTTCAAGCAGCTTTAATTGGAGCTTTATGTTTTAAACAAAGAGAAACATGTGCATACACCCACTTTCCTCTATGGCAGGGCTCCAAGAAGCAAGTCTTGAAAGATGTAGCCTAAAACTTATTTACATGGTCTCTTCCACCTGATCCATGGCTCCCCTATTTACACCAAATCCCCTTGAGGAAACTGGAACCCCAGATGTTTGTCTTGCTGCTTGCCTGAGGCCAGTATTTCTCCTCCACAGAAACCGGTGCTGGAACCACCTTACATTGAGTCTTACCACCGCGTCTGCACCTACAATGAGACAAAGATGATGACAGTGAAGCTTCCCAAGTGTGCCCCTGACGTGGATCCCTTCTACACCTACCCTGTGGCCGTTCGCTGCGACTGTGACATCTGCTCCACTGCCACCACTGAATGTGAAACTGCCTGAGCTCTCCTTTCCCATGTCAGGTGAGGAGGGGCCAGCTTCTTCTCTGGCTTCATCTCCCTGGTACCTCCAGCATTACAGAAGGTGTAATTATGCCAGTCAAGGATTTGATCTTACCCTTTAGTGCTCTTAACGGTTGACTTTTCTGGGCAGATGAGGCTTAACCCCACTCCTCATGCTGTTCAAATCATTACTGCTGGAGAAATGTAGTGCACAGCCTTATAATAGCAAATCCTGTGGTTAAAAAGGGGGAAAAAAAAGTTGCAGTTTCCCTTCCTTAGAGGCTTTTCACACTGTGTGACCTTTCTCCATGCACAAAGCGCACATGGACCTAACAGTCACTAGGGGAGGGGGGGAAGCAGATCACAGAGGCATCACCAGCTCTGTAACAGCTTCTTTATTCATGTCAGGTTTTAGTTCCTTCCCAGTAATGTAGATGCAATTACTAATATTTCCACCACCTCACCCCTGCCATTAGTTTTTCTTACCCTGAGGTCTATCAGGAGCAGCAGCCAAAGACAGAGCCTTAAGGCCAATGAAATGAAAATGGTTACCCAAATTGCTACCTTGAAATTAGTGTGAATGCATACTCAGCCCTGACTTAACAAAGTACTTAAGCTCATGTTTAAGTGTTTTGCTTAATATCAATACTTTTACAGTTAAGTACATATTTCAGTGATTTGCTTAATTGGAGCTGTACTGTTGACAAATTTGCCTTACAAAAGTCAAATCCTTGGAAAAAAAAAAAACACATTAAATCTTCAGAACCAAAAGCATGTATCTTCCCACCTGCTTTTGTCCAGGAACAGAGGGAAACTGACTCCATGTAGAATCAATGAATTCTGCAGAGCCCAAGGGGTCTTTCCTGACAGTTTCCAGAGTCAGAGGGACCAAGCCAAAATATGATGATTGTGGTTTGGGTTCAATGAGCCAGCCCCTGGCTGAGCTGGTGGGAAAGGGGGCTACGAAGGGTGTTCCCACACTTCCCTGTGCTGCTCAGCTCCATGGAGACCTGCTCCTCTGTGGCTGCACACAGAGCTTATGGGCAGCCAGATGTGCTCACAGGAAAGCTGTGGAATGGCCAGTAATGTTGCCAGGGTGGGTGAGACAAGCCCAGTTAGGAAAGAGAGCAAACATGCCAAAGAATGGTTCACACCTTCTCAGACCATTTACAGATTAGGGGACACCTGTGAGCTGCTGCAACAGCCCTCTGGTCACCACAGCCACGGAAGTGCTTTTGTGCTCTGGTTCCCACCTGCAGGAGGACAGATCCATGTTCATCCCTCATCCTCCCCTGAACAAAATGGGAAATTATGTGAAAGGAGGAAGAGTTGCCAAGTGGGAGAGGTTCCCAGGAGATTACACAAAGACACCTTCTCAGATAGCCATTAGGAGAGAACTGTTGCTGAGAGTAATGTCTGCACCTGCCTTTCCTCAATTAAGAGTCTTGTCTTCTAGATGCAGTCACATTCATTTCCAGGGTTTCATGCTTTAAACTCCCCCAAGCGTTCTGTCCTCAGTGAGACAGATTTAAATTAATCTCTAATTGATTAGTTGCTGACATTTTTTTTTGTCTGTGGAACTGTAAAAGCTGCACTATGGTTGAGTAGTGTTGTGGTTTAAACAAAGTCAGCCATAAATCACGCAGTCGCTCTCTCACTCCCCCCACTTTTTCCCCTCCCCCTGCTCCTGGAGGGATGGGGAAGACAATCAAAAGACTGCAACTCCCACGGGTTGAGATAAGAACAGCCCAGTAACTAAGGTATAACACAAATCACTGCTGCTACCATCAGTAATAATAATGATAAAGGAAATAACAAGGGAAGAGAATACAACACCTCATCACCCACTAACTGATAACTCGCCCCCCCCAAGCCTGACCAACCACTGACCGATACCTAGTCCAACCCCGCAGTCCTAGCCCTTCTGGGTAACTCCCAGTTACATCCTGGGCATGGCATGCTGTGGTATGGAATACCTCTTTGGTCAGTTTGGGTCAGGTGTCCTGTCTCTGCTTCCTTCCAGCTTCCCCTCCTCCCTGGCAGAGCATGAGGCTCAGAAAGTCCTTGGCCAGACTAAACATTTGAGGAACAACTAAAAACATCGGTGTTATCAGCACCGTTCCCAGTCCAGGTAGATGACTTCAACTGCTCTGCCCCTGTCCATCAGTTCTATAGCCTCATCATAGAAGGCCACCAGATTGGTCAGGCAGGATTTCCCCTTAGTGAAGCCATGCTGGCTGTCACCAGGCACCTTGTTGTTTTTCATGTGCCTTAGCATGCCTTCCAGGAGAATCTGCTCCAAGATTTTGCCAGGCACAGAGGTGAGACTGACTGGGCTGTAATTCCCTGGGTCATCCATTTTCCCCTTCTTGAAAATGGGGGTTATATTCCCCTTTTTCCAGTCGTCGGGAACTTCACCTGACTGCCATGATTTTTCAAATATGATGGCCAGTGGCTTAGCAACTCCATTTGCCAGCTCCTTCAGTACCCGCAGATGGATTTCGTCAGGACCCATGGACTTGTGCACATTCAGGTTCTTAAGATGGTCTCGAAACAGATCCTCTCCTACAGTGGGCCCAAGGTCTTCATTCTCACAAAATGACTGCTACTGCTGAACCCAGGACAAGTAGGAAGGAGGTGACTTCATCACTCTGACTTTTCTAATTCTGAATAGAGTACTGTGTCAAACAGCAGCAGCACTGGTTTTCTGCTGATGGATTTAACTGCCCTTTAAGAAGTTCTATGATTGATTCTATGACTTAGAAATGGGCAAAAATGGGTTAGAAATGGCCCAAATGTCTGAAAACAGGAAAGTTCTTGTGCTCTGTTTCAAATTTTTCAAATTGCACCTCACGATCCTTCTGATCTTGTTACTATTCTAACTGGTATCACAACTATTATGGGAGACCTACCAAATATTTTTTGTTCTTTGTAAACCTCAACATTGTAGTACGAAAGCAATTTAAAGCAAATTGAAATTTATTTATGTGTAAGGGTTTCTCACATAGAATATGTATAAGCTCCTACAAACTCTTTGCCAGAGCCGTGAACATCTGTAAAACATCTCAATGCTGATATGAACTCATTTCCTTCACTAGACTTCTCTCATGGAGTCTGGATGTGCTATAGCGTCAGGACTAGAAGTAGGATTAGAAAGTGGCAAACTTCCTTTGCAGCCAACAGGAAATATGTGCTGTACACAGATATGGTGAGACAGTGGGAACCTCAGCAAGTACTCAGAAGAAAACTCTGCAGAGTGTGAAAGAGGGTTTTGACTGATGCAATAGCAGCTAAACTGGAGGGTGGAAGAGTGGGAAGGATGTATTGACTGAAACCATGCTAACACTTCTGGATGGTCTTTTAAGGAGGAAAGTAAAAGTGAATGAGATGCTGTGGATTTGCTGTGGGTGACAAAAGTACAGCCAGTGCCAGAGCCCACTAGGCTATTTGACTGGTGCATATCCCACTTCACCTGGATATGCTGGATTCCCACAAGTGACTTTCAAAGAGCCAACACCATTCCTGCTGCTTGTGTGTCCAAACCAGGGGCTTTCTTCCAGAATTTGTTACACTACTAAGTCTTCATTCTGTTCAATTCCCATCAGTTTTAATACTTGCAACAAAGGCTTTTAGCTTTCACACCCTTTTTGCTGCAGCTGGAATGGCATGTTCTGCTCAGAATTTACAGGCAGTCAACATAGCCCCCACATTTCAAAGCATGAGAAGGCCCTTTCCAGGCAACCTTTATCTCCCTGGGGGCCTTTTAATGTTCTTTAAAGCCACAGATTTAAATCTCACCATTCTCCCTGTCCAAAGCAATTAAACAGCCCTCAAACAGCTGTCTCTGGTGAATGAATTTGCAAGGAGTGTTTGCTATAGAGACTGCCACATCTCAGATATTATGTCTCTCATGAAAGCCCTTACTGTGCTTTTGTAGCACTTTGGTTGTCGCCTTCACCTGGACACTGCCTACTAGCACCAAACGAGAATCCTCACATACTGCAATGTGGAGCTCTTAAAAGTGTCATTTGCTATTGCACTTTTAATCTGGCATGAAATGAACTATGTAAAAGTAAGGGAAGGAAATTTTGCTCTACATGTATAAGGGGAACTTGACTTGCCTGGGAGAATTGTATATTGCAAAGCAACGAGTGAGAGAGAATCTCCTATGCAAAGCCTCAGTATTGAACCATTCACAGCTCTGCAGCCCCATCTTGGAATGCCTGCTGCAGTGAAAAGTTTTCTGTAAGGGAGATGGCTTTATATGCCTGCTTGGGAAGGAGAAGGTGGATATATGGAGAAGGCATGAGTGTGTAACTTAGGGACTCTGTACTTGGCTCTTGGCTCTGCCATGAACATCCCAGGTGAGTAGGGAGAAATCGGTGGATTTTTTTGTGCTTCAGTTTCCCTTCTGGACAGTGGGATTGATAATAAAGCCTTATTTTCCTCCTGGTGTGTTTTGGAATGTGTAGATTGTCAGGTTGCTTGTAATGAGTCATATCTGTATCCTGCACACCACTCAGTTTCTCAGGCTTGTTGTCACTCTCTTAATTTGAGCATCAATAGTCACAGTCATGCAGTGCTTTGATTTTTTCACAATGCTTTCCTGTTCTATGATGGTTACAAAAGTCCCCTGGGTCTTGCAGTTCAGCTCCCCTCATTCCCATGCTGCAGTTGGTGTGCCCAGACAGACTGCCTGTGTCAGAATCAGGATATTTCACCCTGTTTTCAAACCTGAGTGACAATAAGAGGAAGGGTAGTGTGCTTCCCTGGACACGTTTCTTGCACTGACTGTTTTCTGGGGGATGAGACAAGCAGCTCTGTCCTGCTCTCACTGTATTCACATGAAAACATAGGAACTGCTGCCCTGGGTTAGAGAAAAGGGCTGTCTCACCCAGTATCCTGCTGCTGACAGTAGCCAGCAGTGGATCCTCAGGGAAATGTGAAAGCATCAGGGCTGTATATATCCTTCCCTGGCTATATCCACCCAGCTTTAGCAGGCAGCAGTTTAGGAAGTTTCTGCTCTGGCAGATGTATTTAGTATCTTGTTGTTGATCCCAGATGCAGTTTCTCTATGCTGCTTCTTCCCAGAGAAAGTCTGGTTGTGGAAAGTCTGGTTATTAATACCAGAGCTTTCTCCAGGGCAGATAAATGTTATGTGCCCTCTTGAATTGTCCTGGCTCCTCTGGGGACATATCTATTTATAGCATTCAGGTATTCATGCTGCAGTGCCTTCTTATTAGGACTAGAACTTGGTACCTTTGTTCTGCGGGTGAGTGCCCCAAGCAGGGGCTGGTTAAGCTTGCTGAGGTTTGCAGACCGTAGAAATGTGAAAAAGCCTTTCTCTAGTGAAACTTACTTCTTTAGCCCAATTGTTATTAGGGATGTTGTTCAGGAATGGTGGGATTTATAGTCTTAATTTGGTGACCAGACCAGCTGGTCAATGGGATTGCTTCTGGTCTTGAAAGCAATGCTAATGAAAAGCAAAGAAACTTTTTTTTTTTTAATTTAAATTTTTATTTTAGACAAAATCCACATTGCTGCACTGAATCCCTGGAAGACTAGAGCCAGTCATATTCTTGATTCCAGTCCAGCATTTAAGGGCTGTCTTTCCTTATGTAACTTCTTCAGCCCTTTCAGCATTTCACTTTCTCTCCGGATTAACCCTACCCTGTGTGCTGAACAAAAGGCTACACAGCTCCTCATCTTCTTACTATCAGTAAGGGTTTACCAAAGAGTTTTGTAATCTGTGTGTTAGGTTTGTCAGGGCGTAACGAACTCCCCTCAAAACTCCTAGTGGAAAACTCCCAAAAGGAACATGCCCGAGACAAGCAAACCTCGGCAGTGTCACCTCCTCTTTGACTTTCTGCAGGGGACACTGGAAGGTTCAGGTGGTTCCAGAGCTATCAAAAGGCAGCCCTATATGTTAGTACATGTTTTTCGTATCTGAATTGTTGTGCAGGTTTTATGTGATTAACATCTGAGAAAATAAACAAGAGCACCACACCTTCTCTAAATGATGTTGTCAAAATACTTAGTAATACATTTATTTTGTTAAAATAAAACTATGTACAATAGATGATATTAATGTGCAGTTACAATATACAATAATTACATGTTTAAAAGAGGATAAGCAAAAGAGTAAAGAATCGTGTGTTGTAAATAGGAAACTAATAGTGTTTACATACTTTCTAAACTAGGAGAAATGTAATTGCTGGAAAAAACAATTTCCTTGGTTTGAAATCTTATTGCTTTGATATAAATTCTACAATTTTCATGAATCTTAGAAAAAAGGATATACCATTCAAAAGTCAAACATAATGTTTTAGTACTCATGCTTTGGTTTTACCAGGCCCATACTCCAGCAATATTGCAAACAATAGCTTTTAAGAGAGAAAAATTCAGTTGGTCACATCAAGTAAATGACTCTTTTTCTTATCTTGCTAAGAGCTGACCAATGATGTGTTATGTCCTGATTTGTGCTGAGGTCATTACATCTGCTTCAATTAGAATAACTTTTTGCACTGTCACTTTTAAGTATTGCTGAAGTACTACACGAAAAGGAAGGAAAGAAATTTTCTTGTCTTTGTGTTCTCAGGAGAGCAGAGAATCTCTTTGCAGTGAAATACTTGTATGTGACAAGTGCATTTTTTTGAGTGAAATGCTTGTATGTGACAAGTGCATCAACATTATAAAAGGTTAAACTGGATTCAGTTAACCTTGCACTCGAGGACAGTTCAGGTCCCTCTCCCTGTTCCTCTGCAGCCTTCTTTGACCCTCTCCCAGTTTCACAAAGTGCAGCTGTGCCCCAGGTATCCCACTGTGACTCCACAGAGGCTTTTGCCAGGATCACACCATACATGCTGGGGCAGCATGGACACCATGCTATACCTTGCTCTGAAGCATTTCCCACCTGGCAATCTGGGCTCACCACCTTACATCACTTCTGTTCACGAGTGAAGGAGACTGCCAATGTCATTTCCCTTACACATTGCTTAATGTTATTGCTTATTAATGATTTAATATTTACAAGCTTGAGGAAAGTTTGTGCTCATTTACTCCACACTGACAAGGCAGTTCAGTGCCTGCTAGTTCTGTGATACAGATAGAACATCTGTCTATTTTGGGGAAAAGTGTTGGGAAAGATGGTATGACAGTCATGCTATGGATATGGCTTACACCCAAACTACTTTGACAGACATCAGACAAAAACTTCTACATGTTATCAGTACAAATAACTGCTTTGTTGAAAGATCTGGAAACTGTAGGCTGGTGACAACTGTTTATTCCAAACTCATTAACCTCTGATCAAAGTCAAAATTCAGAAGAGTAGGTATCAGCAAGAGCTCAAACTGATCTTTGGCAAAACCAAATGCAAAATTAAATTTGGCATCCTGAATAGGAAAAAATGAAGCTAAATGACAGCAATTAGTGCAGTGTCAAACTCAGAAAAGATAAGATACCATTTGTCTTGAATATTACATTGTTACTATCATCATTTTCATCTTCAGCTTCAGCAATGGTTGAAAAGAAGAGTTACAAATCCAGTCTCCAAAGCTCAAGCTGAAGATCAGACCAGCAAAGTCTTGAGATGCCCAACTTCTTCAAGGAGTCCACAACCTCCAAAAGGTATAAAAGGCTCTTGGACCTGGCTCAGTGTATCTGTCTGCTGAAAGCTTGGTCAGCAACAATAAAGGGCGGAAAAGGAGGAAAGACTCAGATGCTTTCTGCATTAGTCATGTGTGGACCCCATTGAAATTTTCCATTGTCATCATGAGAATTGAAACAAAGCCAACATAAAGAATCTTTGAAAATCCCACCCTAAAATTATAGTTAGGAGAAGCAGCCAAACACTGTATTACAGTCTGCACATTCTCAGAAGGGGTGGGAGTCATCTTCAAAGTTATTTCTGTTAATGTATTTTCAAAGGTAAAGGGATTTTTCACCACTGACAGAAATTCATATGAGTTTTGGTTGTTGCTCTGTAATAGAAGGGTTTGTGAGCTCATTTTCCTCTGACAATGAGGTTCTGACTCTTTTTGCTGTTCTACTCGGGCTCCTGGAACTGCCCAGGAGAAATAGGTTCTTGTTCACATGTTTCTGACAGCTTTAACTGAAACAAAGAAAAGAGTATTTGAGGATTTTTTTTCATCCTAGTTATGAGCATCCCTTAATATTCAAAAGGAAATTTAAATTTTAGGATCAAACTGACTAATTGTAGCTCTAGGCCCTGATTTTGCATCTCTCCCCCAAAGCAGAAGTGCAGATGCCATTCTATTGCGCTCGTTGCTTCTAATTGGTTTTGTCCCACTTTCTGATTCAAAAATACTTCTATTCATATTATTGTTTTGATAAGTGAAGACAGCTGAGATCACAAGCCACTACCGAAAAGAGTGGAGGCTTTTTCCTGCTTTCAGAGGGCCTTTATTCACTAAGAGTAAAATAACATTTATAGTAGAGATTCATTTTCATTTTTACAAATGTCAAATGTGTCAACCGTCAAAGGTCAAATGTGTCCAGAAGTTACCTGACACAGTTTGCTCCATGCTCACATCCTGTCACAACAGATGCTCCTCCAGTCCTAGAAAGTTGTGAACCAAGAAAACGTTCTGTGATTTCCGGATTTGCTTTCTTATGTAGGATAAAACACATTACAAGTCCTCTTCATGGAGAAGGAAAATTTAGAGAGAAAGGCATGTGCAGGCAGATTCCTGCATGCTGCATGTTTACTGAACAAAAGATCTCTGGGCCAACATGAGCATATGTTGATTGCTTTGCTGGGGAAGACAAATGTGCCTCTACACAAACCTGACTCGGTTGATGCCACTGCAATTTATTTTTAATCCAGATGAAGTTTCAGTATGGTGAATCAAGTGGTATTTACTGTGCCACGTGGGGGGAAAAAGCTACAGAAAATGTGATGGACCATAAGTAAGCTATGGAAGAAGACGGGATTAGAGGGGCTTTTGTAAGGACATGGCAGCTTGCATGGTGAAGTTGCATCTGCTAGACTTATATCTGGTTGAACAAATGCTCCTAGATGGACCTGCATGGGGTTCTCCCCAATTTTTCTTGTGGAAGTCTTTGTGGTACCTCGTTCATATCACGCTGGAACTGGTTGCCCCAGTTCCACTGGCTTGTTGTTTTAGCAGTGCTCTGAAGGGCAGAGACATCTGCAGGTTGCTTTAATGTGATAACAACTCTAATGTCTTGAGATCGCTCTCTAATACCTGGTATCTCCATTATCTCCTTGCAAGAGTTTGCTTGAAAACCCCTTGGGACAGTTTCAGATTAACAGTTCCTGGTAGAACATTAAGGTTTCAGATGAGGCCAAAGGAGATGGATTTTACAGGGTCCAGCAGATCCAGTAAGTGCTTTTGAAGTGATAGCAACTATTATCACAGGCAAACCTGTCCAGAAAGGTTTTGACATTGGCTGCATGAAGAGGACTTTGTCAAACAGGTTCCAGGGATGGCTTATTGTGGGGAGTGAAGGCGGTAAGATTTGCATGAAAAGCAGTCTGGGAATGGGCTCTGAGGCCTTGATGCTTAACAAGCCCTGGGGTGATTAAGTTGGAATGTTGAAAGACAGGAAAGGGAAACAAGCAAGCCTTGAGGGATAGGCCGGGATGTTGTTGTGGTGGGGAGATCCTCATGCTGAAGCAACTGAAACACCCCAATCTGGTGAACCTGCTGGAAGTGTTCAGGAGGAAGCGCAGGCGGCATCTGATCTTCTAATACTGCAACCACACAGCTCTCCATGAGCTGGAAAACGTCTGAACACTGGGCAGTAACCTAAGCTATGTTAGATGAGAAGAATAAATTCTAGTCAAAATGAAAGTCTTCATGCCATAGGAAGGTCCAGTTCTAACTGAACTGAATTGCTCCTCCTGAACACTTCCAGCAGGTTCACCAGACTGGGGTGTTTCAGTTGCTTCAGCATGCGGATCTCCCCAGCCACAACAACATCCCGGCCTATCCCCCCAAGGCTTGCTTGTTTCCCTTTCCTGTCTTTCAACATTCCCATTATTGCCCCAGGGCTCGTTAAGCATCAAGGCCTCAGAGCTCATTCCCAGACTGCTTTCCATGCAAATCTTACAGCGTTCGCCTTCACTCCCCACAGTTTATAGCCTCTATGACTCTCCTAACAGTGCTCCTTTGAAGGTGAAATTGGGATTTGGTTTCTAGCTCATTTTACACTGAGCAAGCCTGTCTCCTTTCACCTGGCAATCATTTATTGATTTTCTTTTCTTGTTACTAATGGTGCTTGAAAATATCTTGAAGTTTATATCTGTTGCCTTATGCCTGTGCTTGCACTGTGTCTGGTGTTGTGATATTTCTGAAAATAAGCTTTGCTGCCTCTTCACACACCATCTGTTGGCTTTTAGAAACCGTATTAGGTAGGACTTGCCAGATAGTCTATGAGCCTCCTTCCATCTGCCTACAATCCCTTTTTAAAAGCTATTAGCCTGTGCTATTCCTGCCTCCCCAAAATAATAAGGGTAAGAGGGCAGATCCTTGAGTAAGGATCAACAGTGCATGGATAAGTGTATCTACATAATCTAATACAGCAATAATGTTTATGGGGTATGAATTAACCATAGCTATTTTTAAAATATTTATTTTAAAAACTGTAGTTTCAAACAGAGTTGCGATTATTTGGGCAGGATACCGTGGTTTAATACATTAGGACAGTACCATTTTAGCTTCTACATCACCATGTGTTTTTAAATTGGTTTTCCTCGAGCCACTGCAGTTACGTTAATGCTACAACTTCCTATTTGATTTTTATTGTATATTCCTATCCCATGCCATCCTATTAGTATTAACAGACACCCCTGATAATTGGTGGCAAACAAAAATATCATTTGATTATTTGTGGCTTTCTTTGGGTATGGAGGGAATGCTAGATTGTGCTTTTCCAGTGTGCTCATTATTTTATGATAAGCTCAGCTGTCAGTCTGGATTTCTATTTCCTATGTATTTTGTAAAGCTCTAAGAGTTTATGGCAGCTCCAATCTGAATGTTTGCATTGTGCTTCAGCTGAAACAGACTTCACTTACTTTAACCAGAGACTTGTATATAGGCTAGCGCTCTGCAGCAACCTACATGAGCTAAAACGAAGTAATCATCCTGTTTTATTTCCACTGAAGTAAATGGCTGCACAACAAACCTCTAATTTTCTCTGAAATCTGTTGAAAGGTTTTTCTTTTTGTTTCAGTGGACTTCTAGTTATGTTGTAACACAGCAAACGTTACCTAAATATTTATCGATTGACTCCACTCCTAATTTTCCTCACACTCCCCTACTATCTCTTTACACATTATAGTTCAGCTGATTGCCAGTCTCCCAGCCATGTGAATACTCACTGCTCTGCCTGGGGATGGCAACACAGCCTCTGTGGCTATGAAATCCTTCACCAGGCTTCAGCACTGTCCTCACTCTGAGCTGTGCTTTGTCAGCCAGTCCATTTGAAGCAAATGTCTGGGACATAATAAAACAAATAAACAAAATATGAAACAAATAAAACAAAATATAAAACAGGAAAAAGAATGACAGCAGTGAGGAAATCTTTCTTTTGTCTGTCTTTGATTTAGCATAATGTTGTTTTCATCCATGCTTGTGTGCTTCAAAAAAGAGATGGTGAGTGAAAGCTGGCTGGGTAATGGCAACAATGCGCTTGCCTTGAATTTGATCACTTTGGTCAGAGAAAACTTGATTTCTACCTGGAAACACCTCTGGGTGTCAGAGCTGGTTTCTGTAGGTGTCCATGGTAAAGTGAATTTGTGCTAAAGGAGCTTGGATTCATAACCCTTGATGACTGCAGGACTGGGCACTGCATCATGCTTGTTCCCTTCTCTGTGCCAAGGGTGCAGTTCCTACAGTTCTGCTGAAGTCACTAACTGCTTCAAGTAACAGTGAGTCTATAATTCACCACTAATTGCATGAGTTCTTCTGGTTGCATGTATGTGCTCAGCCATGCTACTGTGCTTCTGAGGAGTGGGCTGGCAGTCCCCTGGAGTGGGGTGTGGGGGAATGGGAATGCCCGAAGGCTAGGAAGGTGCACTGCTGTTACTTGCTTACTGCTACAGCACTTCTGAAACTACAGGCTTTGCTTTTGCAAGAAGTTACACCAGAGGTTTTCAAATCTGTATTTGCTGGTGCTGTGGTTTTCTGCTTGGGGAATGGAATACATAACAAGACAGTCTCATGGTATTGCCAGGGTACCTGAAGGCAGATACAAGTAACAAGACATCCATCAAGTTCACTTCCGAGCATCTGTGTTGCTGCAGTATGTACAGCCTCCCTGGAGAGGCTTTATTGAAAAGACACACTTTCTTCAACAGCAAAGAGAGCTAACAGGCAGCTTCCCTTCCCTTAAGGTCTGGACATCCCATCTCTGTGCTGTCAGCTGCAGCCAATCACCTGTGACTTTTGTGAAAGTTCACTCCTGCTAACTGCAGCCGGGCTGCAACTTAAACAGCACCCACAGTAATGAAGATGGAAAAATGGGAGCAAAGAAGGAAGTAAAGAATGGGGGGAAGACGGCTACAATAAATCAACATGTTTACATCTCAACTTTGATGTTTTCTTTACATGAGATACTCCATTAAAAGAAAAAAAATCTTAAGGCATTTGCATCACCTTAATGCACTTGAAGTCAGTATGACCTTTGGCTTTTTGGCTTTCGCTGTTCTTGTCTGCTGGGTAAGATGTAGAAATCCAGCTGATCTATAAGGTAAATTTTCAGTTGCCATGGCAATGTGTCTTATTCATGTTCTCAGTTTGGAAGGGAGATTGTTCCATGCTGCTATTTCATGTCCAGGGCTATATTCTTTGGTGGCAAACTTTCTTTGTTTCAGTACATTAATGCTACAACTCTGTTCTTCCTTTCCCAGCTTATGAAAACATGGCTCAGCCTGAACATTCCCCTGTAAAAATACAGATATTTGCATTTTTTTTGTGTTGTAAGAACATTCCTTAAGTCTGGAGGTAAATGTTGATCCATTTTGATAGCTTGGGTGCAGCAACATCCTGATGCTGTAAGGTTTCACCATTAAGTGAAAAAATATTGGAATCACTCCACCTTTGCTTCCATGTGATCTGAACAAACTAAAGAATATCCTGAACTAGTGAGTCTTATAAAAGAAAAGTAGTTAAAAAGTACATCCTACCTATAGTGTATATCTTACATATTAGATTTCTACAGAACTCCATGTGCTTTCAGTCAATTCAGATTCAATCCCTAAGTACTGGAAATTCCTAATTTTAATTGATTCTTGCTTAAGGCCAGAAATGGAGTTTCTCTTGTTTCTTTCACCACCTTTAGAACTTTTTTTTTCCACATGCCACCTTCACCTTATTCCTAAATTGAAGAGTCAAGCAGGAGCAGGCATCCTGGTTTCTGTTGGCTCAGTGCAGTCTGCAGTAGTGGGAGCAGGCTGCATACAACTCTGGAGGCTTAGGAAAGCACATAGACATGAATTGGCCTAGTGTGATTCAACTTGGAGGTTTCACAGAACAGAGGGCTCCTATATTTGGGTAAGAAGGACCACTTTCTGGTCATGTTCCCCATTTCAGTTTCATGTGACCTTCATTGCCTTTCTAACCCGCTTTGTTTCATTGAACTCATCTTGATTTTCTTTCCAAGTGACTTCACACAAGGGTGCAGCACCTATGGCACTTTGCACAATGCTTCTTCTTCTTCTTGGGGTGGAAAATGGTCAGGATTGCCTCATCAAAGACAGTCTTAAGGCCTTTCTGTGTGAGAGCTGAGCACTCCAGATAACATTGTGCTCCAATCTGAAAGACAGCAGAGAAAATGTGAGTACCCACAGGTGGGAGAGACTGAGTGATCCTGTTCCATTATCCATTTACATTCATACGTGTCTTGCCTCAAAGGGAAGCCCAGACCTTTAGAAAGGGGGTTCTATAATTGCTCCATTTTGTATCTGTCTGCCTGTGGGATTAAGGAACAAACTCAGGTGTTCATCCTGAGGGATGAACATCAACACAAGTATCTCACCACAGGGTGTTAATGTGCAGCAGGATTTCTCTTTGTGACTCTCCAGAGAGAGGGGAGATGCACAAATGTCTGAGGGCTGGACCAGGAGCTTGGCCTCCCATCTGTGCAGTTGGGGAGGGTTTCAAGGAGATGCTGGGTTGTTAGCTGAACCCCTTCATATACTTGGCTCTTCTCCCCTGACCTGTCGCTCTTGCTTCCTGCCTCCTGCAATACCAGGGAGCTGCTCCCTGGGGGAAGGCTTCTATCTGGTTTCTGGGAATTGCGAACCATTGTCTTGAGATGGGAGTCTCCCGGAGTGCTGGTATGACACAAGCACACAGAGTGGCCTGGGAAAGCAGACTCAATTTATTCAGCAACCTTGTTCCTTATTCAGCTTATTCTGCTAGTGGATGCCCTTGCTGGCCTTTGTGGGCCAGAGTCTGTAAGAGCAACAGCAGTGTACAAGGTGGAAAAGACTGGGGTCTAAATGCCTGTATTTCAGGGATTGAGAAGGGCTTTTAATGCCCCTACCTTCCCCGTGAAAAGGTGTAATAGCACAGACACCGTGAGAGCTCCTTCTCTGCTGCTTGGAATGCAGTGGCTGAGTGAGAATCAAGCTGTCTGTGCTTTGTCAGGGGTAGGGGTAAGTTTGGCAAGAAGTGACCACAGGGCAGGGTTTGCTGCACACGCATCCTGCTTGAAGTCTGAACAAGAAACTTGACTTAGGTAGAGTAGGCAGTAAAATCTCTTTTGCTGCCCCTTTGCCACTGCTATACCTTGTTGCTTTGCTTAGAGCTCAGTTGGGTATCACAATGGAACAGCAGGCTCAGAACACAAGCTGTGTCTGGATCCAGCCTATTTGAACAGAGACTTTAATCTCTGTCTGGGACCAACCAATGTGCCCCAGAGGAGTTCACCTTTAACAAAAATGCCCCATCAAAAGCTGTGATGAATTGAAAGCATGTGAGCCCAGAAAAAGCTGTTACCTCTTTTGCTAGCTTCACTCCATGCTCGTAGGTGAGTGGTTTCTCCTTCATATAAAGCAGCCGAGCCAAAGTTTTAGGATCATCCCGAAGATCGATCTAGTTAGAAAATACACAAACCCTGAGCTTAGAAGTGCCTTGCTCTAATGCTTGAGACAGATACTTATAGCTTTACAAACTCACAGTCATGTCCTTGCATAAGGGCTTCTGTCATAGTCTCAGATGATACTTTGGAAATGAACTCACATGTTTGTGGGTTATTTTATTTTATTTTTTTAATTTAATTTAATTTTTATTTTATTTATTATTATTTTTTAATTTTAATTTTATTTTTTCTGTTTAATGTGGATTAGTTCTTATTGTCAAGCTATTGGGCCACAGCTCAGATAGCTGCAGTACAGTCAAGATGCAGTTCTCAGTGGCTCTCACAAGGCATCTTGAAAAGCGTTGGTGGAAGTCTGAGACACACTGGAAGAGGAGCCTGCTCTTGCACTGCATCACCCGAAAAACATCCTAACAGGCCAGACAGACACAGCTCAGTCTGACTGACTTGAAACAAAATCCTTTATTTCCATGGAAAACATCAAAGTGAAGCATTCTGGCATTTCAAACCCATCCGTTTTCAGAGAGTGTGATCCAAAGGGCAATACTTTTATTTCAAAATAGGTGACTTAGATTACTCCAATGTGGAAAACAAAGCCAGTGTTAGAACAACTGGACTTTCCTATGGCATGAAGATTTTCATTTTGACTAGAGTTTGTTCTTTTTATCTAGCTTGGCTTAGGCTACTGTCCAGTGTTTGGACGTTTTCTGGGTGGTCATATCCATACTTTTCTCAGTCTCTAGCCGCTCTGTGTCCTGGAGACAAACCCATATTTAAGGCTTTTTAAAAATTTCTTTATTTTTATAGATAGACTTATATATTTCAAGGCTAAAATAAAGTGATTTGATAATTTTGTCCAACATCCACAATAACAGAAGCAGGACAGTGAGTCACTAATTGCAGTGTTGATACCAAAACTTGAAGGGAGGTTATTTCCTTCCCATATCTCTAAGTAAGTCATTTGGATAATTATTCCTGTTCTTAAAAGCTAGTTTGAAGTTTAGCTTCTGCTTCTAACTACAAACTCTGATGTTTTTTTTCTCCTCACTAAAGGCCTGTCAGAAACATTTATGCCTTGTTGCTCCATTTATATACGTTTGAATAAACAGATGAATGAGTTTCGCCTCTTGTGACTAGTATGGGACACCTGCATGTTGGTTTCCATTTTAGTCCCTGAGTTTTCCTCTAATCTAGCTGCTTTTCACATCAGAAGTTAAATAGGCAAGCTTTCCACAAAGCTCAGCCTCTAGCCACCCCTGGGGTGGAGTAGGAATCCCCTCGCTCTGAAGACCCCTGCGATGGCTGGCAATGCCCACAGAAGGATTACCTGTGTTCCTATGAGGACGTAAGGCACGTTGGGCATGCAGACTTTCAGCTCGGGCACCCACTCCTCCTGGACGTTGTGATACGAGGCAGGGTTCACCACTGAGAAGCAGATCAAGAAGACGTCGGTGTTAGGGTAGGACAGGGGTCTCAGCTGGTTGTAGTCCTCCTGCAGGGGAAAAATAGCAAGTGTGTTACGGTCTGCGGGTAACTGCATATGGAGGCATCATGTTGGCAATTGATGAACTGCTCAACACCGCCCCTCCATGCCCATGCACATTTACAATCTCTGCATAGCTGCTGAGGGCAAAATCACCTCTAGGGGCCAGGGACACCTGTTTTTGTCAGCATCTTTACCGGAAAAAACTAACACATTTTGTTTGTGTGTCCATTATCTGTGGTGATGGTGGCTTAGAGGGTAATGCTAAACAGCATTCATCACTAGTGGAATAACAGAAATTGATCTCGAGGCTGTGTGTACAAGCCTAAGCCCTTTGGCACTGTGATATCATCCTGGGAATTAACATTTCACTGTCACCACTAAATGATATTTGCTGATAGCACACATCACTAGGGGCTTTTCTGTTAATATTATGGGCTTTCTATTCCCCAGTAGGCATTACAGACATGACCATACACAACAAATGGTGTCTCTGAGCTATTTGATGCCATTGCAGTCGTGTTATGGTATGCAGCAATGTGTCAGTCAGCAGAAGACACTCATCTTGAAAGCACAAAGTAGATCAAATCCGGCCTGCAGTGGCTGGGTAAATCACTGATGGTGATTCAGTGTTTCCACAGGCCCTGGACTGAGGAAAAAGAGATGGTTTCTCTATGGGCTAGTTGTGAAAAGGGTGAATTTTCAAGCAGCTCAAAGCACAACTGTGTCACGCTGTGAGCTGGCTTTGATAGCTGAGTTTCAAGGAAGAATTTGGTTCTATTTTCAGGTTTGAGATGTTGAAAGTGAGCAGAGGTTTTGCAAACCAGGTGAAAGTAATAGACTGGCTCTGTCTGATAGTGAGAACACATGTAGCTGTGTCTGGAGGGTTCTTTTCAATGAAATCTGTTAGAAAATTTCAGTGCAATGAAACGGATGCTGCTGTTCTGAAGACTTTTTTCTAGAGGAGTCCAGAATTAAAAAGGGGGAAAAGAACACAGAGTGTAGGGAACAACAATATGTGTTGTTGTCAAGCCTGACTGAGACCCAGTTCTTTAGTTTATAGTTTCTGCATTCTGGGCAAGCCTCTAATCTCTACAGTATTGTTTCTTTTAGTTACAATTGTATGCAAATTGAGCTGGTGCAGCTTTGTTTTGCAGATACTGAAACAGTTAACAACTCAATGAAAAAGGAAAACCAAAAAAGTATGCAGGTGCTCGAACTTGAAAACATTTATTTGAGGCAGGGAAAACCCACATTAGGGGCAGGAGCAATGCGAGCTGCTGCCTGTCTGGCAGCAGAAACTGATGCAGGACTTTGTCACTGTGTGCCCAGATTAGATGGTGCTTTAATTCAGCCTTGCTTCTGTCTTGCTTTGATTGCATCAGCAAATGAGAGGGCTTTAATTATGAGTTGAGACTGGTAAATCTTCTTGCCAAAGTCTTTTGTTCACTGAGTATGCAGTGATAACATGGCCGAGGCTACTTCTGTACCAACACTAGTTTCAGAAAAACATTAATGGATTATGTAAGAACAGTCTGCTCCTACCTTTTCTAAACAAAAAACCTTAATTATTTATTCTGAAAGGAAGCATGAGGCCAAATTTAGCTGTGTACCATTAAAAAGAAGTTTAAAGAAACATCCTGAACCACGAACAAAATATTTTGTTTTGTCTAACTGGATGTTCATTTTCCCAAGCCCACCTCAGCAGGAAAATTACCAGTTACAGCTTCCAGCCCCTCAACCATAGCACTTGGGGTAAAGCCAGAGGACTCATCAACTGACCTATGTCCTTCCAGCCTCGAAGAACTGGAAGAATGATTTACAAGACAAAAGGCGGTGTCTGGGCGTATCAGCTTCCAAGAAAGAGTGGGTTCTCCGTGTTCAGGGAACGGCAGGGAAAAAACCCCAGACATGTTTGTGGGAACATCAGCAATACAGGCCATGAGGAAGCAAAGTTGGTGGGAGGAGATTTATACGAGGCTCTGGAGATGACACCCAGCTTGCAGCAGATGAGTTAATAGAGGCAAAGTGGATGTCAAGATCATGGGATCAGTGGAGCAATTGCATTATGGAGACAGATGAATTTTACGGGGATGCTGTGGGTTAGGAAGACCTGGCCTGATTATGGGACATTATTTTAACCCAGATTTTAAAATCTGAAATTAAGTATGTTTATACCATAGTCTACATGGGCTGATACTAGGTGCTTGGCAAAGGTATTTTCTGTGCCGCTTAATTGCTGCAAATCACCTTCCTAAAATAGCCACGCGGTGGCAGCAAGCCCTCGAGGAATCATGATTCAGGATTTCTTTGGAAACCAATTGGCTAACTATAACCAGTTTCAATATTCCAGGCGTGCATATTTAGAGGGGCTGGAACTTATTGTACCATTTCAATTACAAACTGAAAGCCCCAGGTGCTCTGCCTGGCAGCGACAGCTACAGGAGAGTGCATTTAATTTTGTTTGGCTTGCTCCTTTGTAGCCCCTAAATAGTACTTTTTCAGGAGGAGCGTTCCTGATTTGAATTAGCAGCACAGAACATTATATAAACTATAAGGAGGGACAGTCATGCATCACACAGCAGAGGTCTCATCGCCCATAAGGGCACATGGGGCTTGCATGGATGTGTTAAAGAACAAGCATAAATGTGGTGGAGAAGAATTGATCTGGGCTTCTGTACATGCCTATGTCTGTGGACTGGCAGGAGCCTCCAAACCACATCAGACAAGGATTCAATTGGATCCAAGCATCCAATCACTGTACCTGCTCTCCAGGAGAAGGCTATAAAACCTTCCAACGGACCACTATGAGATACGGTGCATCAGCATCATTTCTTATTGAGAGATGGTTGAAGTAAAACAAATGAATAGTGTAAAAAAGGGACTGGACTCTGCATGGGTATAGGACATAACCAGAGGTGCTGTAGGCAGTGGTGTTTGGGAATGGACCTCAGTCCCCATGGGCTTGGGCTGTAGATGATTATTAATTTGTTTCATGCTCTATTTTGCTGCCAGCTCCAGACCTTGGCCTCGCTGAATTACCTGACTGTGACTTGCCAGAGCTGAGACACATCGACTGGTGTTGCTCCCTCCCCACTCTATTGCTGCCATCAGCCTTGCAGTATTCAGGCCCAAAAAGTACAGCAAACTTTGCTTTATTTATGTTGCTGCTGTGCTGGTCTCACATAGGCTCCCTGCCATGTCAGCCTGTTAAAGCACTCCACACCTGAGTCCTGCCTAGGGTACAACAGACCACTGTTTTCTTCCTCCTAGAACTGTTTGTGCCAGGGATGCAGAAAACCAGATACTCCAGATCTGGGGTCTCTGCCAGCTCTCCCTTCAGGCTGACAAAGGGTCCTGCTGCAGGAGTACATTTTCCAATTGTTATTTCATTAGCATATGTTTTATAGCATTGTAATGTCAAATGCTATTTCTGGCTATGACTTCACACTGATGCCTTTGCAAAGCCACACGACACAAGGAGGAGGGAGGAAACAACCCAGATGATCTGTTGTTATAGCTTGAGCATGTGGGAAGCATCATCCCTTTAGCCTCCATGGAGATAGAATCTGGTCATCCAGAAGTGATTCATGCTCTGAGTTTTGACTAGATGGCCACGTCCTCTGGACCAGGGTCTAAAAGGGAAATGAGCCTGATGCGTTAGAAGTGGTTCTTGGGGGCAGATGGTGTTCTGGCTAGTTTGAAGCGGGAGATGGCAAAATGACTGTGGATGGCGGGGGGGAAGTTTGTCACAGATTAGTGTTTCTTCTGGCTACAGAGGACAAATAAGAGGGTGCGTCACTAAGGAAATGGGTGGCAGGTGGAATTGTCAGTCCTGTGGGGAAAAAGTAGAAATATTAAGGCTGACTGAAAACTGAACATAAGACTACATCTCGTTTGGAAAGGCTTGCCATGCTGCTGGATCACGACAGACACTCCAAGCTCTGCACTTATGAGTGCAGAATACAAAATGGAATATGGCATACGTGATTTGCATCATATTGTGGGACTGGTTTTGAATCATCTGTTTCCATCATGTGCGTAGAAAGGATGGATGGATGGTAAGTGCCACCAAGCTAGCTATGAAGTGCCCACTGCTGCCTACACACATGGAATAAAAGGAAAAAAAAAATAAAATAAAAAAGTGATACCCAAAGCATAAAAGCCCCAGTCCTGCTGAGTGTGAGTTTTTCTGGAATTGACCATTTGTCCTGATGGGGTTTTTGACCTCTGCATCCTGCTGCAAAGTATTTTCTGTAGTATGTGGCCTTCTGAGACAGGAGGGTCTCCTTCTGCATTGTTTATGCGTTTCATAGCAGTAAGTCATGGCCAAAAAAAGCACAGCCAAGAAGTGCTCCTGAAAGCAAAGACCTGCATCCGGGGCTCCTGGGTCCCAGGGAGTGATGCAGCCTTCCAGATCTGCTTTCCTCTCCTGGTGCCTCCAGTTCCAGCTGTGACTGGAGGATCTGGCAGATGTGGGTTCTAACCTTCCCAGGCTAGGAGGGAGCTGGGACCTACTCCCTCGCTTCTCTGTAGGTGATTTTCTGCAAGGTTTCTGTGCAGGCTGTGGTTGTTTCTTTACTCTGTCAGTTGCTGGCATTTGGAGATAGGAAAGTTTCACCATGAAAATATATCACTCCCTGTACCCTCTTGTACCCTTCTACTAGCAGAACAAGGTGGTGAGAAACACTCTCTTCCTGTAAAGGGGGATGAAATGAGCCCACAGACCAGAGTCGTTCTGCAAACCTTTAGTGCAAGCATGCTGTATCAGACTGTGGACAGTGAAAGAATTATGTATCTAGGTAAGCATGAGGTACAGACTCTCCTGTAATGGTCATCCTTGTCCTCGAAGGAAGATGTTGGGATGGATGCCAATCTGGCTGGGTCAAAAAAGTCAATAGGTGGTGACCGATAGGATGGTACTGTATTGTATTAGGTTTCTGAACTTGAAAATGTGAATTCTCTGTATCTTCAATGCCACCCTGTGGTAAATGTAAGAAAACATTGACTGTGTATGAGAGGTCATATTTGCAGTAAAAGTTGGATATATAGGAGGCTGACCAGCCTAATCAGGCTTTAGTTTTTTTCCTTAGACAAAATTCAGTCTTAGGAATGAGTGCATTTTTGTGTGTTTTATTGCTGAACCAGAACGAAAGCTCAATGTAGAAAACAGGAGAAGGTCAGCAGTTCAGCCATTGTAACTCACAGCTAGTTGTTAGTATTTGTATAAAACCCCAAACACAAACAGCATGAACGACAAATGCCAGCATATGGTAGTAACAAGCAAACATAGGAAAGGAAAATGATAAATGTTTTGCACTTACCTGCCCTGCAGTGTCATAAAGTCCCAGCAAGTGTTGCTGTCCTCCCACAGTCACAGTTACTGGAAGACAGAGACAAGAGATGTTATTTATGCACAAGCCAGTGGCCTCATTTTCCTGTGTTTTAATCATAAAATGCCAATAGCCCCTTGTGCTAGGTACATTAGCACGTGTCTTACAATGTGCATACTAAACCAAGCACATCTATTCAACCCAAATAGAAGGAAATCTGAAGTCATAACAAAAGCAAATCCTTTATGCCAATCTCTTCTTTCTCTACAGAAACCCAAGAGCGATGAGCTGCACACACTGCTACTATCAGGCACACAGACTGGGGGACTTTTGCTTCTGTCTCTGCAGCCACCAGCAGAGCCCCATAAAGTGCTAGGACCTGAAAACACAGAATTCCTACCTCCTCACCATGAGCACTGGGGTAGGTTTGTCATGGATCACTGAGAGGGGTTTAGGGTTGTTTTATTTATTCCAGTCTGTGCAATGGTGAAGCATCCAGCAGCTGCTGATGTTTGGTGGGTCTCAGTAGAGATATGCTGCCTCTTTGGGCAAGCTGTCCTGTGTCATGTAACAGCAGGTAAAGTGGCAGTGCTTAACATGGGGCTCTGTGGTGAATGCTTCAAAGGGCAAGGAGGAAGAGGAGCACCAATATTTTCAGGGATCCTGGTGGCAGATTCTGTTGCAAATGAAGGAAAACATGGCTTTGTTTATTGATCACACCCAGCATATTTATGCCTTTCCTATAATTCACTTTGAACTTCGGTTTGAGTCCATTGGCATTGATGGAAATGTTTTCTCATTACCTTTGGATGAACTCCAGTATTAGGGTTATTTTGTGTAAAGGATATGATCTGTGTTAGCAACTTTTAGTTAACCAGTTAATCTGCTTACATCATAACTACTCAGCTGGAAAGAAAGGGAGAAAGGGTGCGACCCATTAGTCAACAGGAAGATTTTAAACATTTAGTAAGAAGGTTGCTCATAATAATGGTATTCTTGCAGCCCATGGACTATTGCTTTCTATAAGCATGAAGGCAAACAGCTGGAACGAACACAGAGCTACGGCTGGAGTAAGGGAGGGCTAAGACTGGTGCTTATTGTCTGATCACAACCTGCAATTAATGAGAGCTGGGAAATATTAATAGAAGAGGCTTAAAAACATCACACAGGTTCTTGCTGATTTTTTCATAAAGTGGTGAGGCTTTTGTGGGAGAAAAGCACTACAGTTCGTGGAAGTTAATAGCTCCTGCACTGGGGAGCAACATTCTGCTTGAAATCTCTCAGACCTGAAGTCTCTGTCAGTGTGGCTGGACAGACTGATTATTCAGCAGCTTCGCTTGCTTGCAAAGCAACATGGTAATTTTGCTAGCATATAAACAGAACAAAATTGACATCCTGAAAGTACAGAGTCTCAGCAAGGACCAGACTTGCTGATGAGAGCAGGATGTGCTGCACTCACCTGCTGCTGGAGCTGCCTTGTGATGTGATGGGGAAAGAAGAGATGGGAAAGGGTCTGAGAGCACTCATCCTGCTCCTCAGTTCAGGAGGTAGCTTGTACACAGTGCAGCTCCTAGGGAAACTTAAAAGAGGGCTAGCTGTTTAGCATGGATGTCCACGGGTGGACAGGGAAGCCCAGGAGAGAATTACCATGGTGGGGAGATAGGTACCAACTCAGACAGGAGACAGTCCAGATGCCCCATCTCCTTCCTTCAACCTGACTTTACTCTGCTTGAGGACCAGCTGTTGGAAGTTATACCCTTCAGCTGAAGGCAGTTTTCCAGCTGTGGTGTGTTCGCTGTGGGATGCTCATAGGACAGCTGTGTGGCCATGGGGTGCATGGAGGTGCAGGTGATCTAAAGTGTCTGACAAATATGAAGAGACATTTGACATATGTCAGTACTGACACAGTCACGCAGCTCTGCTTCTCATGCTGGCTAACCCTGAGCACAGGCAAACTGATCTGGGTCCTGCTTACAAAGATGAGCTCACGTCTTTGGAGTTTTACAGACTTAAAAGTCAAACTGAAATTTACTCTGTCCAGGCTTGGATTGCTGTAAAGCTTTCTTGGCCCATCTCTTGGTGGCATCTGACTTACACAGCTACACTGGCAAAAAGCCCTGATGCAGATACAAATTGCTGTCTTGTTCCAGTAGTTCATATGGTTTGGAGATAAGCTGTTTGCATAGAGGTCCAATCTGTCTCTGGTGCACTATGCTTTGCCAGAAGGATATGCTGCAACAGCTCCTAAACTATTACCTGCGCTCTGTGGTCCATGAAGTCATGATGGATATTTTGCAACAGGTCTGTGGAGCCACACTGAACAGTTATTGATTTTGCAGTTCAGTTTGGCTCTTGGTGACCTCTGGGAAATGCTGAGGGGGAGTAAAGAGGTTGTTGGTGTCATACCATTACTCTTTACAAAAACAAGGGCTAAGAAAGGCAGTTTTTTTGATGAATATACCAAGTCTACCTATCTCGCACATCACATTTAAATTCTCCCTACAGCATCCAGCCTCTTACAGGTCCTGCAGTGAATTTCTGTGTGGTACCAGTCATATCTTTTTTCTTTTTCATTTTCCTGCTTTCTCTTTCTTTTTTCTCTTTTCTTTTTCTTTCACTTTCTCTTTCCACCCATCGACCTTTATATTTTCTTTCTTATTGTCAATTATTCTAATCTGTTTCATCATCAGAAAATATCCTTCATGTCCACATCACCTCCCTAAGTTTGCAGCTACTATCCCAGCAAAACTGTCTTGTTGGCTAAACTTCAGCAACAGGCAAACTGGTGTCTTTGGATTCCTGACTCTGAAGCAGTGGGGAACAAATGGCTCACACTGACATTCCAAATAAGCACTGGCTCTTGAAACAGCAATGTCTAGATTAATGTATTGGTGATGAAACTTTCACTACTTTCCTGCAAGCAAAACAGATGTCAATTTAAATGTTTTTTGCCTGTGAGAACATCATGGTATTTTTATACTGAGAATTTATCAGTCCTTCTCTGTTGGGCTAAAGGATGTTCAGTGTGTCCTCTTGGTAGGTTATACTTACGAGCAGAGATTGCTCTGCTAGATTTGTAGGCCTTACTCTTGGCTTTATCCCAGTTTACTTTTATTTACTCTGTTACTATCTTTTCCTGTTCTCTCTGTGGCCAGCCCAATGGGGAGCCAACAAGGAATTCCATTGCAGTCATAGGGATAATGCAGGCTTCTTTACAGGCTTGCGAACTCAGCTTTATTAACAGTCTTGGAGTAACAAGATAAATATGAACTCTCCTTGCCATTTACTGGCTATATTAGTATATTGATTACTCACTGAAATGGTATGGCCTTTAACACTGAGCACAGTGGGGACTGCAATAAAGCATGGCTGAATGCTTGCACAGTCCAGGTTCTCATTTGGCTCCAGTCTGGGTTGCAGGAGATGATGCGACTGGGCAGATGTTTTTCCTCCTTTCACTGGGTGATTTTAACCAAGTGCAGGATGTGTAAAACACTGCTTCTGAAATGTTGGTTAGACCAAAAAATAGCTGGGTATTGCTTGCTCAAGTTGTGAGTAACTATTTTGGGTCACCTCCAGGGCTTTGTCACAGGTCTGAGTGCCTGGAGGTTTTGCTAATAGTCTTCAACACAGGCCTCTGAAACATGCTATCTCACTTGGAGACTACAGCAGAACAGCAAGGTGTTAGATGGAGTTATTGAGTGGGCTGGACCTGGTGTGTGGACCATCAACTGCTCTGAACTGGGAGCTTTTTTTTTTAATAAGTAGTTAGTTTGTGTTCCTGGGGACAGCACAACAGTTTTTGTGGGTGTTCTTGTTGCCCGTGTTGCCCCAGATCCACCTATCAATGGCCACTTGTTGCCAAACCCTTCCCCTGTTGTGTTTCATTTGCTTACAGCAAAGTCCTGGCGACTTTGTGGGACTGAACTGAAGGCATGGAAGAGCCCTTCAGCCACACAACAGCAATGTTCATTGTCTGCATTGACAGAAAGGGTACATAAATATCTGCTGCCCCCACAGAGTCTATTATGTTGATTAATAGCACAAAACCCCACAGAAATCTTTGGTACAACACCAAACAAGAATGCAATCACTCTGATGCTCTTAGCTGTGGTACAAGAGAGCGGATGTGCCCATCATGGGGTATTTTTCTATGCCTGTGAAGAAAAGCTTCCAGAACTAGATGGCTAGCCGGAATATACACAATAGCTTAAGCAGTGTCTAATATGATACTGCATGTGAGAAGTCATCTATTTACTCTAGTGCTTTCCTGCCAATAGATTTAGGTCCAGCTGCTTTGGAGAGAGATGCCAGGAGCCTGACAGGGAGCAGAGATGGTAACACCTGCCTGGCTAGGAAGACTTTCTCATAATTTTTTGGTAAATTAGTCTGCAACAAGGCTCAAACTTTCACAAGGGTCTTCATCTGCCTTTTTCAGAAAGCTCTGAGTATGAAGTTTGTGCATTTCTCTGTTCACTATGATTATCTGTACCAGATGCATGTTACTGACCGTGGATTAATGGGTCAGGGTTTTGTTGTTTTAAGTTGACCAAATTTTTCATTTCTAAATAGAAAAGTCTTTACATGTGTGCCTTATAGTTTTCCTTTCCCTTCCAAAGGTGCTTGTTCATGCAGGCCTCACTCAAGAAGTATTGATACTGTTTTAAGCTCTTGGCTTCATCTTGAGCCCAGTTTCACAATGCTACTTCACAACAAACTCCTTTGCTCCTGCATGTATTTGTTGAGTGAAGCTCTACATGAAATTGTAACTGGATCTGATCAATATGCTAAATCCACATCAGACACTAAGGAGGGAGGATAGCAATGAGAAAAAAAAAAGCAATATTTTTGTCTTTAGTATACACATGCACACACACATTTTAGATAGAAAATACACAGATGTATGTATATTTCAGTTCTTTAGTTGAACAAAATTTTCAATTGTAAGGTAAAATATTTTTCTTTAACTTGGGGCACCCCAATTGTGCACAGGACATTTGGAAAAGGGAAGGATTCAAAATCACAAAGGAATATAGACGTTATTGGCAAA